TGAAATAACCAATAAATTACAGCAAACACTAAATAGATAGTAAACCAGCTTTCATTGACATTAATGTAGGTATAATCTGACATTATTTGTTGTTAAAGGCGCGAATACGTCAAATAAAAATCGCATAGGACAGTTGTCACTATTATTACCACATTCAGCACATTTATGAACAGAATACGCTTTAAAATTAGTTTTCTCATATGTTATTTATCACTTGGTGGTAAATTTTAAATTTTGTTTTTGCTAAAATTTGCAAGCAGCATTTATAAATTCAAATAAAAGTTTAAAACAATATGCAGATAGGAAACAATAAGTCGTCTTTTCAAAAGTCAGTGTTCAGCGATCAGACCAGGCAGTGCCTGGACAGTGCTAGCTGGAGGTCCTAACATAGAAAAGCCGAAGCCTGCGCTAGGTGAAATGTGTTAACAGCTGCTCGGTAATCAAAAAGCACAGGAAGTCCACGCGCAACGTGCAAATAATAGCCCAATGTTGCAAGTCAAGTTGCAAAGCGCTCGATAACGCAAGGCAAACTTGTGGCCGGCGGACCACTTCCTAATTCAGTGCAGTGGACAGAGGAGTAAAAAAGTCAAAGAGTGCGGAGAGAAATAAGCTCTTGGGCAGAAAAACTTACCACAAAAAATGGCAGGTATATTTCCCTCACGGTAAAGTCAAAGGGACGCACCAGGTGAGAAGTCGCCGTCCTCTATACTTGCAGAGATCTTCACACGTGACTGTCCAAGTTCACCATAACTCAGAGAAAATGAACAACAAGCAGCAGAGTAAATAAAAAGCTCAAAATATTCCTCCGCTGGGCACCGCTGTCGGAGACACACACACTCTCTCCTGCTGTCTCCCGTCAACGCCGCTGTTATTACTAATGCAACAGAGGGGAAAGCAGTACACTGAGTCCTGTTTGAATGACGCGCAATGCGAGGAAGACGCGGCTTGTTTTTTTTCTCGTTACGATTCAAACACACATCAAGCTGTATCCCCAGAAAGCAAGTATATTTGGGACTAGAAACCCCCCCGGGGGAGGCACTTGCTTGTACGCGGAGGTGTGTTGTTATTTTTGGGCGTACTGCGACCCCGTGTGACGTCAGGGCCACCTGCTAAACAAAAAGTATTTTTAAAAGTTTGTTTCCCCCCCTTTCCAAACGTTTTACGGTATCGTGTTTCTCTGACAGCGGCCGTTCATATCTGAAGGTTCAGGAAGCTTCCACGTTAGGCATCGCCATACATTTCTGTTGTCGGGGATTGAACCGGTAATCTTCCAGTAACGGGACGGTCCTTCTGACCTAAAGACAAATGCGCCAGTTCCTGTATCTTAGAAACTTGTGATAATATGATGGGGATCACCAAGAAGTCGCTGTGTTGCAAAGACACCCGCAAGTGGGAAGTATATGTGGGGGGGAAATCAATATTCCCTTAATGTTCCTCTTTCAACTAGGACTCCCAGTTTTTCTGCGGTATAATACTTAATAGTGACCACACAGAGACCGACATCAAAGCCTTATTTTCTCCGTTTTAATCTTTTCTAATAGGAAGTTGTGTGTTTTTTTCCTGTTATATGTATATAGCTAAACTATGTCGCATTAAAGCAATGCATAATCACGGCTGTGGACATGAATGGAATTAGCCTGCATCGATGCAAAATTAAGATAACCTTTGTGTAATTGTGTAAATATCACCACTAGGTAAGAGAATAGACTAGAGCTTGAGGATCCTTCAAGTGAGAATGTAAACTGTATGTTTAGCATCTGGTTTGGCATTTTTGGTCACACATTTTAAATTAGAAATACATTGTACATGCCCCTCATTAAATAAGAGAAAACCGGATTTATTAATGGTCGTCCGGAAGTGTGTGCATCCTGTAAAATGATGGGCAATTTATATCTGTAAATGTCTTGTAAATAATTATGATTATTATTGTTATTTGTTATAGAAATACGCAGTTACGTATTTTAATGTAAACATAGTTTGTAGAGTGCAACTTATTCTAAATATCATCTAATAAAATCACTGCTAAGTAAATACTTTATAACAAAAAGAAGATATAAAAAGATTGACTGAAGGAATTTTCTTACCCTTCACAAGGTAATTTAGTCATTTAATAGCAGATTCGAAGCCAGTCACACATTGAGCAGTGGTTTAAATGGTTTGCTTTATTCTGTCTCGTCTGTCTTTTCTTCTGTTTTTTTTTCTTCTTCTTCAAACCACTGAGACGTTCACGGTCAAGAAAAGAATGACTAGATTATTATCAACTGAAAGAAAGGAAAAACAGGGGCGGTCGGGGCAAGTTTTTAAGATGTAAAAAACGCGAGTGTATCTTATTCCTTAACATTTTAAAAATTATATATTTTATGTTATTTATATCATGAATGACAATGACAATTGAGAAAATGTGATTTGTGCAGGCAGAAAAGTCTTACATTTGTTTGTTTTGTTTTTTAAATGAAAGAAACACAGCTTGCAGCCGATGTGTCTTACTCCCTATGCCAGTGTCAATTTAATTTTTAATAAGGCGGATTATTTTAAAAATAAAAACATAAAACACTCCTTATTCTCCTGATTAGATATTGTTGTTCAAATGTTTATACTGCACTCCTTTACCAGTACTTGTAAAACTATTTCTCCACATTGGTGAGCAGGCACGGAATAGCCTGCACCGGTGCCAAATAGTATAACCAAAATGTCCTAAAAGTGTCCGAGTTTTAGAGAAAAATTGTCAGTGAAATTTCTATTTGATGTGATAAAAAACAGGCATTGTTCCAGTTGAAAATATGAGGAACGCATGTCATTTTGCCTAACATGCAATAGTATTGATCACAATAGATCCTTGTGTTTTTGTTTGTGTTATAAATCCTAATTGGTATTAAAACTCAAATGTAAGTATCTGGGAAGTGATGAGAATGAGAAGGGAAAACAAGAATCATGGAATTGTGGTGGTATGCTGCCACCTACTGGTCATTTTTTATAACAGTCTGTCCAAGGTAACACAATGCAATGGACTGTAATTTATAATACTTTTGAAGTATTCTTATTTCCCCTGTCCTTTATAAAGAATTATTTTTCTCTAACAATATCTGCACATTTAAAACTCACAAAATAATTGCAAACTGAAAATGCAAATTCAATTGGCTTAGGTGCAGGCTTATCTGACACTTACTGACTCTGATCACATAGTGCCATCTACTGATATACAATAGACATACAAGATGTCCTCTTGATGAATTCAAAGACTTGACAACATACTAGGAACAAGCACATTTTTGTTAAAACCACCTTTGATTTTTTTTCATTTTATCAGCAGCTTGTTAAGTTGTTCCTGATATTTTGTCCACTTTCTTTCTAAATGTGAATAAAGTAATGTAGAGAGAATATCTAAAACATGTTTTGTGTGAAGTCATTTTTGGAATAATCATTACATTATTACCGACTATATGCATTTGGTGTCAACAGTATTTAAAATTTTTGTATGTAACTATTAATAACATTTTTTTACATTTGTTAATATATCTAATGTCTGCCTTTACAAAACTTGCAAAGGTGAACCTCTGATACTATTTAAAGACCAAAACTGCAATTAAAAGTAAAAAGAGAACCTCTTTGGCCTCAAAACGTGGAACAAAGGGTCCTTTGAGGACAAAAACCCACTCACCTGCCTGTGAAGTATTGGATAACCTGCTCTAAAGTCTATTTACAAGATATACTGGATTTTGGGGTATAGTTACACTGCATATCAAGGATTAGTTGAACTTCCTATCCGAGACGTTGGCACAGGCAGACACACACATAAACACACACACGTACACACACACACACACACAAAAACAAACTCAATCTGCAATAAAGAACAGAATAATCTTCTGTTCTGAGATGCAGTGAACCTAAAAAATGAAGGCTGCTTCCAATACCTATGATATGAGAGGATCTGTAGATACTCAACCCAGACACCATACTTCCTTAACACAGAGGCCTTTCAGCACACTCTAGGAACTAATAATGATTTGCGACATTGTTGATCTCAACAGGGAAATTGTCTCTTTTTTATTGTTTTTTTTTTTTTTTTTTTTTTTGCAGTCTGCACATGGACGTCAGAACCTGATGAAGGTAAGGTTACTATGTCTTGAGATCAATTCAGCACCAGACGACAAAAGTGCTTAAACTGTGGCCCTCCAACTGCAGGTCTACTCACTGCAGCATCCTGCAGCACAACATTATGTCAATTCTCCATAACAGTGTTACTAATAGTTAACATTGTAAAATCAGGAACTAAACATTACACATAACAGTAGCAACTCTGTGAGGCTGAACTTAGGCACAGCGGTACTTTGAGCTAAATGCTAACATCAGCATGCTAACAAACTCACAGTGACAATGGTGACATGCTGATGTTTACCATGTTCACCATCTCAGTTTTAGCATACACAAAAGTGCAGCTGAGGCCGATAGAAGTGTAATCAGTTTTGCTGGCATTTGGTCATACACCCAAAAATTTGACATGATGGTGGTGTTATATGAAAGATCACCAGTTATTACAACTCATTCAGAAGTGGACATCAGTGTCTGTACAAAAGTTAAGCAATCCAACCAATAGGTGTTGACATATTTAAGTCTGGAGCACAGTGGAGGACCATCTAATCAACATATTGACACTGCCATCCATGACAGAATAAATAAAAATGTTCTTTATATTGTAGAAATATTCTTCATGCACATTTTTCAAACTCTTGAAAAGGGCAGTTTACTTTTGAACAGAAGTGAAATGCAAACTTTATATCAGAGCAATATATAAATTCGTGCAGGGTTTACCCAGTTAAAGCAAATAAAAGTAAGTAAAATATTGTTCAAGCATTTTGCCAGGAAGGGGTAGTTCAATTTCCATTTCTGTAAATCATGAAAGATGCTCCATCTCCATCTAGTTTACAGCTGTCCTGCTGTTTATTCACATCATCCCACATCACATGGGAACAAAATGATATACAATCATGAAAGAAAATGTATTCACAGTGTAAAAGAGAAAGCAGAGATACAGTATCTGGTATAAATAAGCAGGTAACATTTCTGCTCACAGATAAGTACATGGCCTTCACAGATGTTACACTCAAATCAAAATTCACATCTCAGCAATCATTGTTGTCTTTTGTACAACGGACAGTAAAGTTAAAATGCAGATTGTTTGGATTTGTGAATATTCTTATGTTTTTTTATTTATCACAAAATAAACACCCAGTCAATATTCCAAAACAGACTTGTTTTTAGTTAGTTTTAGTTTAGAGCGCTTTTTCAAAGCTATAATTTCATTTATTTATTTTGTAACTAGCAAACATATTGTGTGAGGATAACTGAGAGGATAACTGGCCTGCACCGGTCTAGTTATGTGTGTCCTATTAATAGGCCTGGCTCAGACTCACAATGTTCAGCTGTAACCGAACTCCATCTGTCAAGTCACGTCCTCTCCCCGCTCTCCCTTCTACAGTATCACTGTAGCCAGGCTAGAGGCACTCTGGTGTGTGCCACCCTCCGAGCCAGACAGACGGCAGGACAGGCAGACAGCTGCCTCTGAGGCCATCACGCATTATGGAGGCTCTGTATGTCCAACCCTTGGAAGAGGATGGGGTTATGATGAAGGAGGAGGAAGGGGAAAAAAGTGAGGAGCAGGAAGAGGGAGGAACAGAGGCCTCATCTCCCACAGGTTCCACCACAGACGAGGAAACAGATGAGGACTCTGAATCAGAGCCCCCACCGGTCATTCGGAGGAAGGTGTCATTCGCCGATGCGTTTGGCCTCAACCTGGTGTCAGTTAAGGAGTTTGACAATGCTGATGTGACAGAGTCCGAAGTCAGCCAGCCCCCTGAGAAGGAGGCAACCCGTCCCTTGGAGGAGTTCTACATGTCCTGTCTGTTTACAGTCCCCTCGTCACCAGAAGAGCTGGACCAGAGGTTACAAGCGCAGATGGTTGAGCTGGAAAGCATTGAGCTCCTCCCGGGAACCACCACACTCCGGGGCATCATCCGGGTGGTCAACCTCTGCTACAGCAAGTCTGTTTATGTCCGAATGACCCTGGATCGCTGGACAAGCTACTTTGACCTGTTGGCGGAGTATGTGCCTGGATCCAGTGATAGGAAAACAGACAGGTTCACCTTTAAGTACACTCTGGTTCCTCCCTTTGAGAGAGAGGGGACCAGAGTGGAGATCTGTCTGCGCTATGAAACGTCAGTGGGCACTTTCTGGGCTAATAACAAGGAAATTAACTATGTGCTGTTTTGCCACCAGAAAGTACAAGTAAAGGAGCATGAGCCTCAAGTGCAAGAGGAGAGCACCAGCTACAAGAGCAAGAGGAGCTGTCTCAAAGCTAGGTGAGAGAACCTAATGGTGAATCGTTTTTAAACGTGCCTCTGCTGTCACGTCATGCCAACCTTGTATTTCAGCAATAGATGCAAATACATAGTAATTATTCTTCAGATAAAATGAATTTAGATCTATCGGTGCACACTTTTAATAGATTTACTTCTATTAAAAGTGTGCACCACAAGCTGGTGGAAGCATAAGCGAATGTTGCCTGCTGGCTGGGCCTTTGGGTGTTTACAGTAAGCAGTTATGTAACTTTTTTTTTTCAGTAATGGATGTTTGAAAAGCAGAACACATATTGCCCTTTTAAGGTCAGGTGTCTGTCCATGTTTCCATGACGTCTCATCATGGCAAGGGAAGCCAAATCTGCACACTTTATCCTCTTTGACACCAACTCACAAATTAAAACATTCAAACATTTTTAAAAATTGACATACATTTAAATTGGGTCAATTTCAAAGTCTGCTGGCACAGGTAAATGCTGTCTGCATGGAAACAAGGATCACAGCTGTTTTGTGTACACCTCTTACTGCTTATCATGATAATAGCAAGGTCAGTAGTGGTGCAGGTAGAGTTTGACAGGGTCAGGTGAGAAATAAAAACTGTATAAAAAGTTTATGAGGATGTCTGATAAAATACACAGACTTGGCATAATCTGTGACCCCTGTCTATTGTACCATTTTATAAAAATCTAGTCATAAAAATAACATGTGCTATAAATAACTCTAAAAAGAGATAGCCCATGTTTGGATATTTTTGTCAAATAGTTGTTGAAACAAATTCTGCATTTTTAAATGATCCTCCTAAAATACAACATGACATACATCTGTGTAACATTACTGTGTTACTTTATTTTGAACCACAGGAGGGGAAGTACAGAGGAACAGACCAGTAACACACCAACAGTAGCTGCAGGTGTGTATACTTAGTGCTTATATGTGTGTGCATTTGTACATGAATTTGTTTGTTTGTGTGCAAGCAAACTTTGACCCTTGTGTTTGTCTTTTTTTTTGCCACACATAAAGCAGACAAGGCTGACAGAAAGACAATGGACAGCGCAGAGATACCATCATTGCTATACTGTGAAGAACACAAACCTTTGGTGAGGTTCATTTATTATCTTTTTGGAGTAACAAACTCTTCTTAAAGTCTGGAGGGGGAAATGAAACACCAACATCACCCTGAAGTAAACAGCCCTTGCAACAAAATAACACACGATCAATGCTGATCATATTGTGTGGTCACACAAACACTGTGTTTGTTTGTTTGCAGCTGCAGAAATAAACTGTAGATATACAGTGAGAAAGTATGTGTGTTCTTTCTGCAAAGAGCCAAAGATACGTGCCATACTGTACAGTGCAGAGTGGGTCCCAAAAGGATATGGAAGATCAGCTAACCTGACACTTGAACATGTCTTAAATTACTCATGTGCAAATTATTAATAATAAATGCAACTTACATGCAAACATGAAGGAAGTTGATGATGTAAACAAAAATAGGCTCATGTGCTGTGGTTGCAGCAGTATTGCAACACATTGCATCACCACAGTAATGTTACATGTCAAAGACTACTCAATAAATGGGCCATTATATACATTTTTAGTCATCAAGCCAGTATTAGGATTTAAAGTAGATGACTAGCAAAACGTTGTGCTGTTTTAAGTAGTTCATACACTTGGCCTGACCTTTAACCTTTGGCCTTTTTGACAGGTGGATAACATAAAAATCAGACGCAGAGCAACACGTTTGGCACGTGTGCAGGACTGCCTCTCCCAAAGGAGGCAGCAAGTACCAATGGCTTGTTCACATGACTTAGCCAGTGGCCAGAAACTTTCTCAGCCTTCGTGGGAGGACTCTGCCAGCTTTCTCCATAAATGGCAAAAGAAACAATCCAACGAGAGTCCACAGGTGCTGACCTACCACCAGATTCCTCTGCTTACACTGGACTGGAACAATGACAAAGCCCATCAGTGGGGGACTGCTCACATGGATGACCTCTGGACTGGGAGAGCTAAAATGACCTTGTCAAAAACGTCAGTGGAAAATAAAGAAGATACATCATCTGTTGATGATATTTGGGAGACCTTTCGTAACGGTACAGATGATACCACTGATAAAGAAACCTCCGTGTGCGATTCATGGCAGGCATTTCTTAATGGGCGGAGCTGTACAGGCCATTCTGGTGTTCCAGAGTCAGAATGGCTCCAGACAGCAGCGTCGGTGTCTCCCTCAAATGATAAAGAGCCCAAAACCCAATGTGCAGCAAGCAGTCAAGAGAATGAATTTCAGGTGGGCATGGATACACCCACCACCTTACATGCACACACCTCAGCTGCATGTCAGCTGCTGTCAGACACTTCATTGAACACTGAAGGCCACCAGCCAGCGGAGGCATGTGTCACCAGCCTAAAAGATGACAACACAGTGACACAAGATGCCCCCCAAAGGTCAGAGACAAACTCCGTTACAGACACTCCGCGGGAATTTAGCCTCAAGGGGGCAACGCCTGTGTCCGAGGGCTCTGTTGACAGTTCAACTGAGTGTCACAAGCATGCGATCTGGGAGCGAGGAAGAGAAGGAATAATAGGAGGAGCAGAAAGAATAGGAGGAGATGAGCCCTTCACACCACACACAGCTGACTTAGTAACAAGCTCAGGGGAGTCTGAGACAACAGACATGACAATAACGCCAGAGTCTCAGAATACCAGCACCGTTGATAGGATCTCACAGGGAGTAAGGCTGGATGAGGGTCTTTCTTCCAGCAGGGAAGGGGAGGTTACAGGTATTGCACACAATGCGATGGATGACACGCTGGCATTTAGGGAGACAATCCAACAGGGGACAAAGAACGGGGAGAGGTTTGTCTATTCCACATCCAGGCAAGACATGGAGGAAGGGATAATGAATAACTGTATGGCATATAAAGTATCTAGAGAAGAGGAGATATTTAGGCCACATAAAACAGAAGAGTGTGAAATCTCCCAAAGGTATGCAGATGAAAAGCAATGTGAGGAGTTCAGGCTGAACCAAAACAGTGAAAATCCATTACAGGAGAATGAGAGAGATGAAAATGAAATAAGACCTGCACGGTCACATGCAGATGAATTCAATCCAAACCAAACGTGTGAGGGCAATTTCAAGCAAAGCCAAATAATGGCAAGTGAATTCAAATTTGATGAATCAGAGAACAAAGATTTAGCATCAAATAGCAAAGGCCTGGAAGTATTCAAAAAGACAGAGGTGGAACCTTCCCATTGTACAACAAGCAAAGGAACTAAGAGACTAATTGGTGCAGAAGCAGAAATGATCAAAGTATTAAATGAGGACGAAGCTTTACAATTTAATTCATCAGTGCAGACTGGAAACACATCAATAATTTTGAAAGTACATAATAAACAGTCAGGTCCAATCCAAGCAGGGGAAGGGCTGTGCATTCAGAAAGAGGAAGAGGACTCAACACTGACACAAAAACAGGAGAATGTTTTTTTGATATCTGAAACAAGTGAACATGTATTAGTCTCAAGTCAGACAGAGGAAGGAACATGCTTGAGTTGTGATGAAATAATTGAGGAGAAACAGGAAATGAACACGTCAGCACAGACAAGACACACAGTGGAATCAAGGGATGTGAAAAAGGGCCTCCAAAGTGACCATGATACATTCAGACCTTTTCCAACAGATACATGCAACCCAAACCCCGTGGAGGTGGTAGAGATGAGATGGACTCATTCACAGGAGGATATAAAGAGTCAAAAAGAGGATTTAGGGTGTGAAAGAAGCCCAGAAGAAGTTGTGGCGAAGGAGAACATAGCAAAGAAAGACACTTCAACAGAACTTCAACAGCAACCTGAGACATTAGAAAGAATAGAGGAAGATATGAGTCAGAGAGACAGAGATGAGAGGGTGAGTATTGGAAAGCTGAAAATAGTAGCAATGGGGGAGTTGATGGGTAATGTGGAGAACCCTCAGGGGGAGAGGAAGAATGCACCAGCTGAATTGAAAGAACAAGAGTTGTCAGCAGAAGTTGAGGGTTCTCCAGGTGTTGAACATGAAAAATTGTCAGGAGGAACAAAAGACCCTATTACAGCAGAACATGCTGTAGTAGCTGAAGTGATAGAGTCGGGATTGGAGGAGATGTTCATAGAAAGCTTTGGAGAAGATTTGGTCAGGAGGGTTTGGGAAGAGGTGTTTTGTCGGAGAGTGCATGCTTCAGATAGAGACACAAATATTGTTGATGGAATGGGGGGAAAGCTGTCAGACGTACCCGATATTTCACAAGATTGCCGTCTCCTTGTTCAGAAAGACTTGAATGATGCTCGTGATTCAGGCGTATTTTCCTTGGCAGAATTACCAACAGATCCAAATTTAATTCTCTGTCAAGGCCTAGAGCAAACCTTAGTGACTAAGAGCAATGAATGCTCCCCAAAAGAAAGAAGTCAGTCATTCACCACAGCAAAACCCACTCCCTTTCTCTCAGAATCTCAGACAGATGCAACTTCAAGTGCTCATCTCAGTCAAGAGCCAGCTGCGCAGAGTAGGCAGTCATCAACTGAATCAGCCCAAAGCTCTCCAGAGAATCAGGAAAATTATACTCAAATAAAAGAAATATCAGTCGACTTTCAGAAGACAGGTAGACAAAAAGAACACTGTGTGGATTCCCACAAGGAGAGTTTTAATCACCCAGCCCACCCATCTCACAAACATCAGAGTTCCTCCTTTGAGAAATTAAAAGAGCCCGACAGTCTCATATGGTGGAGTATGATATACATCCTCAGTCACATCACCAGACTTCTAATCTGCGCCCTCTTAGTCGCTGGATTATTCTTCCTCTTTTTCCTGTATGATTTCCCAGCATTCGTTGCACTCTACATATCTTCATCGTGCTGGTGGTTTTATAAGTGGCAGAGACATAGAGTGACGACAAACAAGGGCATGGTGGGATAGGCCGAGAGTTAAGAAGTAAGGAAGTGTGTTAAAAAGTGATGTGTGTAGCATTTTTAAACATCAGGACACCGCGGTCAAATTAACTTTAATGTCTTCAATATTGTCATACTGTGTATTCAGACTGGCGTAACCATTGTTAAGATGACTGGAAGCTCCAAAAATGAGTGCAATAAAACAAAATGCTACACACAACACTAGTAGTGTGTGTGTGTGTTTGGTTGTGTGTTTTTTTATTTGGTTGTTTCTTTGACCTAAGTGAACTAAGTGACATAAGTGAAGTTTGTGCAGTGGTTCCCAAATTTTTTTGGCTTGAGACCCCATTACAACAAAGCAATGTTTACTTACAACCCTTTGTCAGTAGATGCATTTATTTTGTTTACTTGTTCCATGGAAATGATTAGAGGAAAGTATGAAAAAATAGACATCATTTGATGAAGCAGATTTTTTTTCACTTTATTCCATAACTTCCATAATTGCATAACTTTGGCTATGTCTCATGGCCCTTTATATGTTTTCCTGCGACCCCTTGTGGTGGTGCCAAACCCCAGATTGGGAACTAATGAATCAGCGAATCAGGACAAGTTTGGCTTTTGGTAATCAAATCAACAAACAAATGTATGTCTTTTCAAATAATCCTGAATTTAATTTGAGCGACTAACCATTCAAATTTACTTGAGTGAGTACTTTTTTTAAAGTGTGAAGTTCATATGAAAATGCACCTGTTGTTGAACGTTGAGTGTAAACAATTATGTGTATGATGTGTGAATATTTGCTGTGTTTTATGGGCCCAATATCACTTTACACTATACCAAATGGAACAAAGTAAGTATGTGTTTGATTAAAGGAGATAAAAGGTGTTTGCAATAGCGGGGCATTGGAGGTCTATAACATTTCTCTTTTCTTGTTCTTCTTCAATAAAAGAAATTCATATGATTACAGAAAAAACTTGTTTTGTCGTTAAAAAAAAAAAATTATTTTATTTTTAAATATTGATTTATTTTGTATTTTTGTTTAACATTTAGTTTTTTGGCCCCACTAATGAGAAATTTTACCAGTAGGGAAAGTTAGGACATAATTTGTGTATTTAATTCATAAGACTCAACAAAAAATAACAGTTCTTATACTGTATTTGACACGTTTTGGCTTTTGATATCCAAAGGGGTTATTATTGCCATTACAGCATTAACCTTCTCTATAAGCCTATAAACAACTTGTTCTGTATCTAACAGTATGCATTAATTACAATAATTCTTGTAGTCTGTAAAACAACATACACTGAACTCCCACCAGTTTAATCATAGTGAATTTTACTAGATAAAATTGTCACCTGAATTCTGTCAATCAGATTCTGTCCTTGTTTCTCACGTGCAATGTTTCATCCTTTGCTTCATAACAAGGTGGAGTGGAGGCCCAGTACATAATGGTGTTTTAAGACTTCATATCTCAAATGAAGGGTCTAGTCAGTATTCATGTACAGTCACCCGTAGCATGATTGGAAAGGTCATAATCCTTGTTGGCAATCGTTCACAGACTGTGTATTAACAGTATCTCTTTCAGTATTACTCATAAGAGACCTCAATGATCCTGAGATGACCCTTCACAAACCAGAGGACCAGTCAGCAGTTCTTTGTTCTTAGATTTAGAGGATGCTGTAAAAGTAATTTAGTCATTCAAGGAACTTGTGACATTTAGAAAAAGGTCAGAATTATGCCGGTGTTTGAAGGATATAATCTTAAGAAGTTTCAGCAGAGTTACGTGTTGATTACCAGATAAATCAACGCCTTTGAACCTCAGTTGTATGTCTTTGAAGTGAAAACCAAGTGTCCATCTTTGCTTCTCTCTCTTAAAAGAGTCATGTATCGTTTAAATTTTTGTGTCCGCTGACAGGAGATGGAATTAAGAAATTCACATAGCAAATAGTCCATTTCATCCCCGTTGCTTGTGTGGCTTACTAAAGGCACTATATTACAAGGTTAAAATAAAATAGGATAAAATGCATTCCTTTTGACATTGTGATGTTTAAGTCACTGCTCTTACCGGATGCCTTCCCAAAATTAATACACACCATTTGTATCAAAATGTACCACTTTACAATCTCAGAGAATGTCCAAGTTTTTTTCTATTTTGTGAGTTTTTGTTCTCATAATCTTATGTGTTTAATCGCTTAAATTTGAATTTTTCTTCTCTGTATATTACGCACCTCCTGAAATGGTAAGTGACTGAAGTTTACTGAGCAAATCCAATATTTTGTTAAACTAAATTTAAAAATATCTTTAAGGGATACAAGGCCTTTTAACTATGATGATTGATCTTGTTGGTAACTCTATAACCCAAACCCTCACTGTGGTGTATATAGTGCTTGTTCATTGTGAAGCCAGTAATTGAAGTTATGTGAACTGCTGAGTAGGAGTAATAGAACAATTACATAATTTAATGCGGGTAATCTTTCATCATTAACAAAAAACATTTTGAAATATACAGCAAGAAAGTGGTGTGGGTGGATTCTGTATGTATCCATATGTGTCCATCTCCATATACTGATGAGAAACACAGTGCAGCAATGGACAGTTTTTGAAGATGGATGGCAATGTGCAATGTAGCCATATCCTAAAGAAGCCTAAAATCACACAAAGCATCATTAAATGTTACTGAAAAATTGTATTAGAATATGTTTTGAGCAAATTTCAGATATTCAGAAATGGATTTTACAATATAATGCACTTCACAACTAATAATGACAACATAAATTGTTTCAGCTTCCATTCTGGTACTTACTTCTGGTACCATTTACACAGATGCTTCAGTGCTGGCCAGGCTGTCGTATCACTCTACATATTATCTGCTAGTCCTCCACAAGCAGAAAAGTCTCACTGTGTGCGATAAAGTGACAGTTTGAGTGACACTGCAGTTCAGAAAAAGTCACCTGATCCCGTCTGGGGTATGATGACCTTTTGTAAACTGGCTCCAATCCCATGCTGGCACCTTTAACAAACTGGCCAAGAGCCAATGTTGGCACAGCAGAAGGCTACTCTTCACAGGGCTCTGCTCTGAGGAGGCACAGTACAAACCTGGCAAAGCTACTATAGCGTGCGCAGACATAAAGTAGCAACGATGGGAAGAAAGTGAGAAACAAGGACAGAATCTGATTACCCTGAGGTGCAAGGCTACTTTTTATAGACTAATATTGACTAAAGCACATGCCAACATGTATGAATGTATGTATGTACAGTAAAATAGCTGTTAAGAGACTTTAAAAGCCACAATTCCTATTTTGCTGTTAATTAGCACTAAAATTTGTCAGATACATTTTAAGAATCTAAGACTTGATTTGAATTGAAGATTTCTTTAGCCTGGGATAGCTTTTACCCTGGTTCATGTCAGGTCACCGAGGGTCCCTGAGATGGCAGAGTAAGACAAGCTAATTGACTCTTTGGATCACACCCTGAACCTTGTGATCCTAGTCTTGACTAAAATGAGAGCCTACGTTGATGCTCTTCTCATTTGCCCGCTCACATTACAGTGTGTATACAGAATTGTGTGTGTTGGTATGTGTTTCTGTGTACGTGAGTATGTGAGGACAGAGAGGCATACTATAATAAGGATCATGCTATCATGTGAGAGACATTCTCAGGAGTGCATTCCTGTGTTAGTATTTGACACAAGCTTCCTGTAGTCCGAAATAAGTCTGGAAAGCTTTAAGAGATTCAAGAATTTGCTGTTTCTTCCTACAGTTGTCTTGTGATAATTTTGGGGATTTCATGATATAAAACTTTGGATGTAAGTGTACACCAACAGCTTACACAAAACTAGGTGCAATACTACATTTCTTCCAGCAGATGACGATGCAGCTCCATTTTTCAAAGAATCCGTTACATGTTCAGTCGGTCTGGAACTAAAATCAAGGCAAATGATTTGGGTTAATACTAAAATAATATAGGAATCACCTCAAGCAAACATTTGACACCATGTGCATAATCCTAAACTTAAGATGCAATTTTGTATGAAAGCGAAAAAACAATATATTTCTAAACCCTGTGGCAAAATCACTGTGCAGTGAAGTGCACTGCCGGGGACAAGAGGGTGCATGAGGACATGGTATGTGAGTGGATGAGAGCGCAAAATGAAGCAGGGGTGCGTTGTGAGGCCTGAGGGGAACAGAGGCACTCTGCTGACAGACTGGAGATCTGACAGACTGCATCGTCCACACTCTCCTCGGTCCTAGGGAACCACATTTTATCGCTCCATTCCCTGTCGGTGTCCTGTACCCCACTCCCTCAACCTTCAACCTTGCCAGCTTCATCTCCCCTAGATCTCCCCTCCTTACCATCTTGACCTCTCTTTTTCTCACCAAGCCTACAAGCATTCCCTTCCCTCGCCTCCTTCTCTGACTACCCTTAGCAACCCGACATTCCCAGATGTCTGCTGGCTCTTGCATCACTGAGACAGCAAGGCTTTCTGCTGTTGTCACTTGGCATTTGAAAGCTGTGCGTGCGTGGGACACCGTCACCTCCCATGCAACACTAATTGCAGCATACTGACTGCTAGAGGACTCATCTGAGAATAAAGCAGTGGACTGGTACCATAAGGCTAAAGGTTGTTTCTTAACGTTTCTATGTGTTTTGTTATGTCAGATTAAAGGAAATTGGAACTGAACTGACTGACGGGGGCCGCAAACGATCTGTGTTTCAGTTCATTTCTCTATTTATTTACAAACGGAATAAATTTGTTTATTTGTGAAGTAAGTTCCTTCTTTAAACAAAAGCAACTTCCTTTGCTTTCCTTCCTCCTTACTGTGAGATGACAGAGCTGTTTTTTCATCTCTACTGATGTCGGCTGGGTGTGTTTCATGCAGCAAGGAGGTGTGAGAAAAGAATGAGGAGGAAGATGAGCAGGAGAGGAATGAGGAGGGGCAGATATTTCACTCACGGTTTGGCACAAAATAAGGAATACAAAAGATGAGCGTGACAGAGATAACTTGAAGAGTGCATAATAATAATAGTAATAATAATCATAATAAAC